CCCGCCGTGTGTCCCCCCCCGACTCAGCCCCTCACCTGGGGGATGGTGTTCATCCGGTTGTACCTCTGCACCAGCTCATCCTTGGAAGGCATCCGGTGCTGCCCTTTCCCCATCCCTGCGGAGAAGCCAGGAGGCACCCGTCACCCCCAGCCACCCCCCCCGGGGTGAGGTGGGGACAGCATGCCACAGACAGGGACCGCCGCTCCGCTCCGGGTGCTCCCAAACCCTGGGAAACCCCCCACCCCCCAAAAAAATGGGCACAGCGGCTTTCAGAGCTGAAAAAACGTTGGGGGTTTTAATTAAAACCCCAGCATTTGGGGAAGCCCCAGCCTGGCTGGGATGAGGATGATGAGGGTGGGAAGGATGCGGGATGTGGGATGCAGCTCCTCCGGCCGGCACCGCGCTGGAGCATCCCCGGGCCCATGCAGGGAGCGGGGACGGGAGCGCAGGCAGGAGTGGGCAGCGCAGGCAGGAGCCTCTTACCTGAGTATCCAAAGGAAATACTGGAGATGGGGCTCAGATAGATGCCCTTGCCATAGGCTGCTCCATGCAGCTTGCAGGGAAACACCGGGGTGAGCCACGCGGGGACACCCCGACAGCTCGGGCACGGCGGTGGAGACAGCCTGGCCTCTGCAGGCAGCACATCTCTGGCTGCCTGCTCCCCCCCAATCCCTGCCTGCTCCCCCCCAATCCCTGCCTGCTCCCCCCCATCCCTGCCTGCCCCGGGGCCGGCCGGGGGGAGCGTTACCTGCAGTTTGGTGTAGGAGGCGTTGACCAGCCCGTTGCGGAGGATGGAGTGCCAGTTCTCAATGTGAGAGCCACTGGAAAAAAGCCAGCCCCAGGTGTCAGCCCCACCATCACCAACAGCACCCCTTTGGGGGTTCCTGCTGCCCCCCTTCCCTCCTCCCCCCAGCAACTGACTGGAAAGCAAAGGTGCTGCCGTAGAGCTTCTTGGCGGTGCGGAACCGGGCTTCCTTGGCCGGGGGGCTGCTGAGCAGGAGGAACTGGTGGGAGGTGTGCATGAACTTCAGCTGCTACCAGGGGAAAGGGAAGAGCAAAGGCGGCGCCGGCGGGGAGAGAGGACAGACAGACAGACAGACAGACAGAGATCATGCACGGCAGCCTGGCCCCGCACCCGTCCCACCCCTGCGCTTTGGCCATCCCCAGCGTGCCAGGAGGAACGGTGGCAACCCCCGTCTCTCATATCCCCCATCAAAAATCCTCCATCCTATACCCACATCCCGCCTCCCACGCCTCACTGGCTGCAGACCCCATCCCAAAGGCTGCATCCTACATCCCAGGCCCTTATATCCCTCATCCCACATCCTCCATCCCACAGCCTGCGCCCCATACCCTATGTCCTGCATCCCATACCCTCCATCCCACCTTCCAAATCCCACATCCCATACCCTATGTCCTGCATCCCATAGCCTCCATCCCACTTTCCAAATCCCACATCTCATACCCGATGTCCTGCATCCCATACCCTCCATCCCACCTTCCAAATCCCACATCCCATACCCTATGTCCTGCATCCCATAGCCTCCATCCCACTTTCCAAATCCCACATCTCATACCCGATGTCCTGCATCCCATACCCTCCATCCCACCTTCCAAATCCCACATCCCATATCCTACATCCCACTTTCCATATCCCACATCCCACACCCTATATCCTGCATTCCATACCCTACATCCCACGCCTCCATCCCACTTTCCAAATCCCACATCTCATACCCGATGTCCTGCATCCCATACCCTCCATCCCACCTTCCAAATCCCACATCCCATACCCTAAATCCTGCATCCTATACCCTACATCCCACCTTCCAAATCCCACATCCCATATCCTACATCCCACTTTCCATATCCCACATCCCACACCCTATATCCTGCATTCCATACCCTACATCCCACTTTCCATATCCCACACCCCACACCCTATATCCTGCATTCCATACCCTACATCCCACCTTCCATATCCCACACCCTGCATCCCATACTGCAACCCACATCCCATACCCTCCATCCCACATCCCACATCCTGCATCCCGCATCCCATACTGCATCCCGCATCCCATACCCTCCATCCCACATCCCGCGTTCCATCCCCTCCATCCCGGACCCCACCTGGAGCCCAGCCAAGCCCCTTACCCTGCTGAGGGGCAGCTTGACGATGTGGGATCTGTTGCTGGAGATTATCCTTGGGAAGAGGAAAAGGAGAAGGAAGAGGAGGAGGAAGGTCAGACAGGGTTGGTCCCATGCTCCCCTGGGAACGGGACCGAGCCGGGAGATGGGCCAGAACCCACCCAGAGACCAATGGATGGTCGCAACCCCCCAGGAGAAAGGGGCTGTGAGGGACCCAGGAGCTCATGCTGGGGATGCCGGGCTGCCCCCGACCCCATCCCCTGTGCTGGGAGACGGGGGGCAGCGGGGAGGGATGGGGGGGGCAGCAGGACAGGGCCGCAGCACCCCCAGCCTTACCACTGCAGGAGGGGGTGGGCCAGGGGGTCCAGCTTGTCCATCTGCTTCTTGATCTCCAGGTAGGACCCCTGGCAGAGGGAAGAGGGGGTGCAGGTGAGTCCCCCAGCACCCACCCAACCGCAGGAGAACGGAGATCAGCACCAAAATGCCACCCCTGGTGAAGAATCCCACACCCGGGGGGGCCTCACACGGGGCCATGGGTGCTGTGGTGCCACCCCAGCGTACCTGGGTCATCTCCCGGATGGACATCACACTGTCCAGGGCCTTCTGCAGCCGCTCATAGTTCTTCTTCTGCAGGTGAGGAAGGAGAGGGGTAACCGTGGAGGGGTCCTCAGAGCTCCCCCCAGCCCCACTGACCCCTGCCATGGGGCCGCGTTGCCCCCCTGGGGCTTACCTTGGGGTTGAAGGCAAGCGTTTTGGGGTCGTTGGGGTCCACCACGGAGGGGTAAGGCTCAAAGATGATGCTCTTGCGGGGGGACTCCAGGGCAGCGCGGCACATGGCCACCAGCAGGTCCACCACCTTGGGGACAGAGCGTGGGGTGAAGGGACAGCACCCCGAGGTGACAGCGTGGTCACCCACCGCGCACACCCTTACCTCGGCGCCCGTGGCAACCTCCTCTGCCGCGCCAGACATGACGCCCAGGGTGTAGAAGGAGAAGACACAGAGCTCCCGGGTGCAGACCGCCGGCTGCGGAGGGGACAGGAGCCGTGAGGAAGGTCGGGGACAGTGACCCCGGGTGACAATCCGTGCCCCTTTGCACCCTGTCCCCTCACCTTGAGCATGGAGCCGTTCTGGAAGACGTGCTGCTCGTCACACACCACGCAGTACTCGTTGAGCGTCGGGATGCGCTGCTCCGCGTACTTCATGATCTGAGGGAGAGGATGGTGGGAGTCAGCCCCTGCGGCGGCCATGGCACTCGGGGAGGATGCTCCGGGCAGTGGAGTAGGGCTGAGAGGGATGTGGGGCAGTGGGGAGGATGCTCAGGGCAGTGGGATGGGGCTGAGGGGGATGTGGGGCAGTGGGATGGGGCTGAGAGGGATGTGGGGCAGTGGGGAGGATGCTCAGGGCAGTGGGATGGGGCTGAGGGGGATGTGGGGCAGTGGGATGGGGCTGAGAGGGATGTGGGGCAGTGGGGAGGATGCTCAGGGCAGTGGGATGGGGCTGAGGGGGATGTGGGGCAGTGGGATGGGGCTGAGAGGGATGTGGGGCAGTGGGGAGGAT